GATCAAAACAAAATAAAGCTTTCAGTACTCGTTAGCTTACTGCTACAATTAGACACTGCGCCCACTCTGTTGCCAGATTTGAGAGAAATAAGCAGGTCTATGAAAACAAGCCCCAAAGAAGCAACACATACATGATGTTGTGTAATTTGAAACCAAAACTAAGGCCTCAGGATGACTTTAAGACTTGACCATGGTCTATTTTGTTTGTAACATTGAATACAAAATTTAAAAAAAGTATTTAAAAAAATCCCGATCCCCGATTTTTTTCTCCCGATCTTTTGAAAATCACGTGATCGGCTCCGATCCCCGATCACGTGATCGGATCGGGACATCTCTACATATTTGTTTGCCTACATTGCAGTGGAAACAATATTTCTTTCTCTCAATCAAACTCCACTTCCTGCAGGTAAAAAGAACAAGCTGAGAGTGTACTACCTGTCGTGGCTGAGGAACAAGATTTTGCACAACGACCCCGAGGTGGAGAAGAAGCAGGGCTGGGTGAATGTGGGCGAGCTGGAGGGCTGCGTCCACTACAAAGTCGGTAAGTCTGTCAACCTTCCTGAAGAGGCTACAGTTGACCAGGATTTGCACCAAAAGAAAACTATAACTGACAAATGACTCCTTTTTGTCTGCAGTGAAGTATGAGAGGATTAAGTTCTTGGTGCTGGCTCTAAAGAACGCTGTGGAGGTGTACGCCTGGGCCCCCAAACCCTACCACAAGTTCATGGCGTTTAAGGTAAGCATTGCTCTTCTGCAGGTATCATTCAGCCAAAGAAAGATGCAAGTTGACTCACTTTATTTTCTCTGTGTTTTAGTCTTTTGGAGATCTGGTGCACAAGCCTCTGCTGGTGGACCTGACTGTGGAGGAAGGTCAGAGGTTAAAGGTCATCTACGGCTCCTGTTCAGGCTTCCATGCTGTGGATGTGGACTCTGGTGCCGTCTACGACATCTACCTGCCCACACATGTAGGCACCGAGCACACCGAGCACAGTCTGACCGTGTTTTTAATCGCTCTCTACACACCTACCTAACCCTTCCTCCTTTCCCCCTCCAGATCCAGACCAGCATTCAGTGCCATGCCATCATCATCCTGCCCAACACGGACGGCATCGAGCTGCTGGTGTGCTACGAGGACGAGGGCGTCTACGTCAACACCTACGGCCGCATCACCAAGGACGTGGTGCTGCAGTGGGGAGAAATGCCAACTTCAGTGGGTGAGTGGGGCAAAGAAAGAGACCTTAAATACATTCTTCTTTTTTATAAAATAAACAGACATTGCTCCAGATAACAAACCGTACATCAAAACATGTAACAACAAACAACTAAACAAAACGTAACGGGAGGGGGGGGATGCAAGGATGACTTCCTAAGACGGCTGATTGTGACATACACAGGACATTACATACACAATACATTATACATTACACAGGAGATGCCATATTGACAGGTTAGATAGGAGAGCTGCGGACAGTGAACCGCAATCCTCCTGTCTCCCCTCAAAATCCCCCAGCAGAGAAGCTGCACGCTCCATGTTCAGTAGGTCCAGATACTCCCTCAGCCACGAGTCCCTAGTAAAGCAGGCTGGTTTGCGTTCCTTCCAGTTTAATAGGATGAGTCTTTTTGTGGCTAAACAGCCCAATGTCCAGAGCCGATCGGTAGTCCTTGCAAGATTGCCATCTGGCTTGAGACCCAGTAGACATGCAATGGCGGGACATGTAGGGAAACTAACTTTGAAAGATTCAGACAATAAGGATATTACTTCTGACCAAAGTTTTTTTACCGCTGGGCATTCCCAGAGTAGGTGCAACAATGTACCTCGCTTGCCACATTCATGCCAGCATAAGTCTTTGTGTTTATTGTCCATCTTGGATTTTGTAACAGGGGTGATGTAAGCTCTATTGAGAATTTTGAACTGTATGATCCTGAATCTTACAAACTTAGAA